GTAATATCCATACTACAATGGGCATCATATTAGTAACTCCTTTACACTGTAAAATCTTAATCTTTTGCATATACAAGATAATTCTTTATGAAATACAACTCAGTACTCAACAAGTACCGTCGGTCGGAGGCTGAAATAGAATTGATGGAACCCATAATACTCATCTCTAAGTCGCCATTCATGATATGTCCAATATTTGTTTTCGGTTTGAGAAAGAAAATATATGACTGATTTAAATGAATTTGATGCAGAAAAGGTTACTGCAGGATACTTATTTTCTAGGTAATTATGAATAATTAAAATTACACGTAGATTTAGACTGTGCAGAAAAGAATTAAAAATATAAATTGATAATTTATCTATACAAATAAATAAAAAAGAAGTGTCTTGCCTAAAAACCAGCTTGAACATTTTTGTCTGTCTGTCGGTCAGTCTTTTTGTTCGTTCCTTCATCTTTTAAAAGCTGGACCGATTTCAATAATATTTTACTACCAATAATATTATACTACTGTGTATATAAGGAGCAACTTAGGCTATTCTTACTGACAGAAAAACCCTATAAAATTTTGCTCGGACCGGGAATCGAACCCGACGCATGAGGCCTTGGGTTCGCGCAGTCGCGTATCTCTAAGACAGCGCTTTTCAAATTCCACGCGAACGAAGTCGCCGGTACCAGCTAGTTACAATAAATTTATAGATCGGATTCCACTGATCTGATATGTCTTGAGTACCCACTTTACGAGCCCAAAGTAAAGTTTCTACGAACATTTAGAAATGTTATGTAATCATATTATAAATAGAGTATTTAGTAGTGTACAAGACTAATAACCCAGTTTTGATATTTGTTGGGCGCTCATTCATATATCACTTTACATTATCATATGATTATAATATTTGTTCCTCCGATATCTAAATATTTCGGAAATAAACTTAGTAGAAATAAATAAAGCGCAACGAAACGTACCTACGTTTCGTTGCGCTTTATTTATTTGGATTACCAACAAACGATCAAAGTAAAATACACTTTAGAAAAAAAGTAATATGACCTCTTTCCACTTATATAATATATAATTATAAAAATGAATTTGACAGTCAGCTAGCAATCTCAGATGATTCGTGATTTCATTATATGACGTACAACAACACACGTCTCAGACATTCAAGATAAAAAGTAGGAGGACATCCTCCTTTCCCTATATTTTAATTTAAGAACGGAAGCCATGACTCGGCAAGAAAAGAATCAGATTAATTTCCACTGTTGTCCCGCCTGGCGCGACCTATCTGTTAATATAAATCGTTACAAAACACCCGGGCGAGTTAGTCGTGCAGACAAAAGGGTTAGACTGTGCTACAACGAAATATAAGTAATCTCGCCAGCAAGCCCGTGCACAATAGGACAAGAGAATACAAGAAAAGGCCAATGACTTTTGTTAAAACGAATGCATTTGTATAACTTTATGACACAATATATGTAACTTTTGGAAAATTAAAACCTAATGTAAATACATAAAAACAATAAAAGTTAGAGCACCTGGAAATTCGTGGCCACGTTGGCTCGACTCCAGTTCTACTGAACTTTGACAACTAACCACGGCATTTAATTGGTGAACACATCCCGTCTGCGCACTCATTATATAATAATACATGCAACGCAAAAGAAATTCGTGAGATGAAGTTTCATAATGACTGTATGAATACATACAAAATTGTATAGCAAAAAGTTGCCTGAATCTTTAGATATATGCGACTGAATGATGTTTATTAATAAAACTGTTATTTTGTCACCATTTGATTTTCAAGTGTCTTTCTGTCGTATGAAACATTGAATTGCGTTTACGCTTTGTTCAACAATATGTGGTTATTGAACTACTTATAATGATATTCCTTTACTGCCTGCATTTTGATTGCCTCCAGGAAAAAAATAGGACGAGATTGCACCAAATGATCTCGAATTCTATCTCGATCTCTATTTCTTTGAATTGACCGATTGTATTGCGTTCAATACGAGTACACATGCATGCAGCTCAGCTCAGTACATATCTTCTCATTAATGCATGTACATTATTGTTGTCGATTTTTAATATTACGAAACGTCTTTTCGTAAAAAGCTTCATTAAAAGAAATTGGTGTGGTGTGTATTCACATTCGATGATTTAGCTGTCATTGATCACGAATTAATCAACATTCAATGCGCCAGAAAATCAGAATGGTCATTATAGAAGCTTCGACATCTGATCTAACATCAATTAATAATGATACAGATCTCATTTTGAACGTCAATCTGGAACGAATGAGGACCGTTACCGAAACAAGCGAGACTCCGCAACGACCGGGTGCCGACATGACTCACACTATTTGACAGCACATATCTTCTCATTAATTAATGTAGTATACAAATAGAACCGAAGCGAACTTAGTAGATTATATTTAATCCAGATTCACATCCGTTCTGTTTATATGTAGCCAGAGTTATCAGTAAATGATCATCTTTTAACATATCTCGATTGAAGCTGAGAATTTTAATTTACAAATTATTGTAATATTACGAATAACAAGTGTTGTACAAAATATTAATACTAAGATATTTAACCTAATATTATTAATTGTTTTTTGCAGTATAGAATAATGCCATGAACAATGGAACTTAATAAGGGAGAATAGGCAAAGTCCAATTAATACTTCAAGACGAGTTGTCAGTTTTATTTCGAATAATTCTATGTATCTTAAAGATAACATCGGTATGAATAAATAAATCTGACGATATAACAGTGCTACGTATTATGATTACGTAACCACATGCTGAATGCGAGCGCAGGGCTGATGAAAGGCTGACCTCAGACGACTGTGGGTGTTGTTAGACAATGATAATCTGACAGACAGAGGTCTACAAACTATACCGAATAGCAAATAAATGGATGCACATAAACAGGATGAGGATTCACACCTGTCGCTGATCAGACACATACACAGTGCGATAAATGGTGCATATCACGTCCTATCCTATGGTGACATGTCTCGCTCTTAGACAACATACTTTATATCTGTGCCCACATTGAATTCATTGTATGAATTTTTTTTAAACGATCTGTAAATGAAACTGCTTTCCAAAACATGAATTACGGACACTACCTACTTAACTATAACAATCAAATATGCAATCAGCGCAAAGGCCTTTTTAAAATTTCCGTTGCCATTGGTAGTTCACGAACGATGTTCAACGTAGCATCGCTCATTTGCATTTGTCTGATTTGCAAGTGACAGTGCACATTGGTGATGCTGAGCCCGTAACACGTCAGACAAAAATATTTTTATCAATGTTTGGGGCAATACAACATTAAAACATCTTAGTTTTGAAAATTACAGTTGAGTTTCATAAGTAGAAGAGATGATAATAGGAACTGGATTCAAATTGGAGATGCAAATAGTCATGTCGACGTGATTATATAATTGAAAAATGCTATCCAAATCAAAAAATATTTTAATCACCTTAGACATTCTACATCCTAAGGATTGCATTCTACGGGTCTGTTTAAATCATTTCCGCACAAGATCCGCCTTTCAATACACCGTAATATGTTGGTCAAAATTTGTAATTACTTCTCCTATTCGACATTAGACATACTTTTAACAAACAATTTAAAACGTTCAAAGAATATGTATCCTAACTTTAGCGAAATCGCGTGCCCATAACAACCGCTTTACGAATATCAATGACCCCGGAGTCAGACGTCCTGCAATGTTTGTTTAGTGTTCTGAATATTTTCATACCTAGCCTATAACTAAACGATGACTGGCGCGACGCAACTTTCGTAACGCAATTAACTAGACATGAGTATAGTTGTAAAATATATTTTAATGTGCTTCGTAACACCAAGTCTTCACCGATATTATGCTGTATATATTTTGTCCTACAATTTAAAATAACGGTTAATACATCGTTTTTCTGAAAAAACCGGTCAGGTACGAGTTGAACTCTTGCGCCGAGGGTTCCGTACCTACCCAGATTTTACGTAGATTTTCGAAAAAAATTGTAAGTACCAAAATTTTTCTCAATTTTCAACTTTTTTTATTTTTTAGAATTATTCCTTTATTTGTGCTGTAAACCCTGTGCTAAGACGTATCTTTTTGCAAATTTCGTGATTCTAGGTCAACGGGAACTACCAAATAGGTTTTCGACCCAAAACCTACAGGGTACTTCCGGTTGACCTAGAATTGACAATTTTGGTTAAAAGCAAGGTCTTACAACACAAGTAAAGAGAAAATTCTGAAAAATAAAAAAAGTTGAAAATTAAGGTAAATTTTGGTACTTACAAGTTTTCGCGAAAATCGAAATTTGCCCATTTCTTTTTATCGTGTTGAGTCAGGAACTTGACTTTTATACACCTAATGGGGTTAGTATACCCCATTAGGTGTATAAAAGTCAAGGTTCCTGAGAAAATCGGTGGTGACACACGGACAGACGGACAAGAAAGTGATCTTATAAGGGTTCCTTTTTTACCTTTTGAGGTACGGAACCCTAAAAAGGATGAGGATTTTCCCGCAGTACAACTATTACCTTATCAGCACAATGATTGAAACTTAATTAAATCTATAGAAGAGTCATGGAGCATTAGTAATAACTGTACAGAATTTTAAACAGGAATTAAAACTATGTTATAAACCTAAACTAAATTATAAAAATATAGCTAAGAGATGTTGAAATATATCAAAGTAACGCTATTGTAAAATCATGGCCAATATTTGTAATAGTTTGTATTGATAAAACATATATATAACCAGAATATCGTCGTCAAAAAAAGTCAGAAAAAAATATTTATTTAAAAAAAATACTTCTAGTTTGAAATAAGATTAATGCATATTTTTAGAGCAATTACTTTTAAAATAACTGCACTGAACTTAATTTAGCTGTATCATTTTATTTTAAGCGTTAAGTTTTTATATCTCGTGTCCATATGCTTAACAAGATACAAATTATGCACTTTAATTGTACAGAAGGGGCGATGTTAAGTGCAGTAGCGGCAGTGCTAGCATGCCTCTGCGTGGCGCGCTCTTCGCAGGCCGAGCCGTACAACCTGCGAGCGTACACAAAGACCCCCAAGGTAAATACCTCCCTCTTGTCAACCAAACATTTACACAACACAGTAATAGAACACGCTGGGACATATCATCCGAACTAGACAAATAGATGTAGTATTTTCAAACAGTTTAAATATGTCGCGGCGTGTGGGCAGACCGGATAAATTACTACCAGTCAGTAAATAAATAGACTATATTTAGTTTGAAGGATGGTATGAGTCTTTCATCGGTAGGAGTGATAAGAAAAAAGAAATATGTTTACAAGGGTTGACTTCTACGTTAAGAGATCCGTTTTTTCGCAAACCCATAGACCCTAGTAGTAATCGCAGTATTTATATGTTTTTGTTTTAACAAACCCTTTTTATTTTAATCAAGCTTTATTTTATATTTATTATGGTATATTAGGTTAAGGTGAAAGTAATCAATAACAAATTTATGGTTTCCGTTTAACATTAACTCAGTAGGATATTTAACGGAAGTTTAAAAACCGCAAATAATGTACCGCGTAAAAGTCCTGCCCAGTGCCCAGTGCCTTTTGGGAAACGAAAGAGATCTTTTTCATTGCTTTGTTTTTTATTTCTAATTTTGTGGATATTATTCGGTCTTAACCAGGTGACTTAACTTTACCCGCGTCGAATTAATTTAAATGCAAAGTTAATGTACTAAAAGTTGAGATATTATTATTATTATATGTCGCCAGGGAATTCATTGTCTCATTAAGAATTTCATATCATACGAACTAACATACATTGATTTTTTAACATTTGAATATAATTATGTTGGTAATAGAATTTTATGTTATTCTAAAAAAATTTAAAGCCATCAAGAACATTTTGGCTAAAATAACATAATGGTTTATTGATTTCACAGGACATAAACAGTATTTTATCCAGTATTGAAGAACGACTTCGCATTTTGGACACGATCAGTGAAACTCAAGAGAAACAAGCACGCCGCTTAGATTTCATACAAGATAAAATCGGTTAGTCATGCTAGTCAGTCATATTCTTATGATAAAATGATTTACCTATCCATAGTCATCGTCATATCGTAATGAAAAACTTCTAATACGTCTTTGAAGTATTTGCAATCCAAATAGTTTCTTTTAGTCGAAAGTACAACTGTATTGTTATAGCGCAATTTGTACTAATGTTTTTTTCAAATGAAGACGAGCACTACGTGATAAGTAGTCTTGCTGTGTCATATCCTCTTTTACAAATGATGGGTAACTTTCACAATATCTACTACCATACTTTACTAAGCCATTGAGCGAACAAGAGGAACGAACAATTAACTTCTAAAGGAACCGCTTAGAACTCCGATGGTTTGAATAACTTACTAATGCACGCCGACGTTAACTGAATAGGAAGCCGCTATTAATTTATATATTTGCTTTCAGATCGCGTGGAAAATACATTGACTTTAAAATTAGAAAGAGCCCAATTAGGAGCAGAAAAGCTTGAGCACAGATTACACATGCTGCAGACTAATGTGCAGGTTTGTGTAATTTACCACTTTACTGTGTTGTGTGACGACACCTCTACTCTAGGTGATAGATTTCCACAAACAACTATTTCATTAATTTCATGTTTCATTTCATTCAAAATTGTGCAATTTATTATTAAATTTATTGAAAAAACTACACCTCAAAATTGATAGATAAACATTTTAAGTTTTGACTAATTTCGGCAGTCATCAAAACATCCAACAAATAGATAACAGATTCAGGTGTTGTATTTTTTTGCAGAATTAGTAAAAAAACCATTATGCCGTTTCCCAGAAATATATATTTCCATATTTTATTTATTTTTATTTTGTGTGCCTTAACGCCATCTAGCGTTAACTAATGGAACTACTGCTCCATTACGCAATAAATTTCCACCTAGATTAGTAAAACTTAAATACATTCACCGTGGCTGGCTCCACCAGGTTGGTTAAAGGGACATCGCACACTGTACTTCCCCCACAAAGAAATAAGTACATTTGTACTTCAACATCTTCAAATTGTGGAGATTTGAAAAGCTTAGGTATTATATCTAAACTATAAACCATAAATGGAAGTTTTCATTGTGTTAATAATTAAAATACATTTCCATTTCAGATAGCTATCAAAGAGAGCAGTGAAAAGCTTGAAAAAAGTCAAATGAAAATAGCAGACTTGACGTACAACCTAACTCAACATATCGTTATACATAAAAAGTTATTAGAAAAGGTAATATTAATTTCAAATAATTGAATAATAATGATACGCATGTTATAAAATAAAAAGGAAAATCATTGTGAAAAACAGGACCCTGGTGTCTGTTTTCAGAATGACTTTTCGCGTTTATAAGGGGGAAACCGTTAATAAGAATATGCAAATTCATAAAAATATTACTTATATTTACTATAACACAAATATCTATCAGTAAGTAGTAGTAGTCTAGTAGTTTCTGTATATTTATCTTTATATACAGAAAGACGGTTTTGTTTGCGTATTTTTCGCAATTCTCAGTGTTCGAGTACAACTCAAGCTCGACCAAATTTAAATTCTTATCTCATGATGAAACAAGTATGGTAGCGCGTAATAGCTAGTTGACTTCTGAACTAGACGTATTTAAAACGACAATAGCCCAACGACTAGGGTGTCAGTAAGATCGCGGGTTCAAATAGTCTCAAGTTGATTTATTATGATTACGACTCTACCACAAGTTGTTACTGCTTTTCTTAGTTATATATTTTTAGTTTTTACCAATAGAATAGAATATCTTGTATTTTACAAATATTGTTATATTATATGCAATATTTATGTGTGTCACATCACGCACAACCGTCTTTACTTATGTTATTACAAACTGACAAAATACAGTCGTTGCAGGCATTTTTCGTCAAATACTATCTTTCGTCTGCTACTTCGTACGCGTTATTTTTGTAAGTCAATTCAGTTATCCCTAGGGGGGGAGGGGGTTATACCTAGGTATCCCTAAGTTTTTAGAAGTAGAGAAAAGAACACATTTAAAAAGCGTAATAAATAAACAAACAAAAATTCGCATTGATACTGAACAATGATTAGGATACGTCGCACTGACAATTTCTTCAATAAATTACCATTCTTTTATACGACCTACTTAATTAACTTGATTCTATTTGCATCATATCTTTACGCAGTCTTATGTTAAGCACAGTTGCTAATCTCAGATTCATGCAGAAATCTACTTACTTTCTCCAAATTAATCCTAAACCAAATTTGTAATGTATGGATTTTTTTGACAGCTCAACGGCGCATACGCAGACACATGGCACCGGAGCTTAGTGCTGGAGTCTCTCATGAGAGACGGTCTGTCGGTAGTGAATGTGACGAGACGAGAGCTAGCAGACGGACTGAGAACCTTAGCCAGGCGCCAGAGAGACGCGAGGGTGAATTCGAACGACTTAGATATAATGTTTACCAAACGATTCAATGAGAACACAAACAAAATTGATCAAAAGGTATTTTCATACAACTAGGTTGGGTAAAACCACAACGAAAATTGATATTAAATAAAACTTCACTACATATTACAATATAGTCTCTAAACGCGGTTTACTCCAAAAGTCTAAAAAATATTTATACGATTTTCGCCCTATGATCCTGTATGCATTGAAGAGACCTGCTTAATGCAATAGAACAATACGACACCATGGGCGGTTTGCTAGTAATGTGCCTATTAATGTTCTCTCATACTTCTATGGCACTATGTTTATATATTTATATATGCGTGAATACTGTAAAAATAGTTGCCAAGCGTTAGCTGCGTACACATGAATATTTTTTAAATCCCTATGGGATCATGATAAGCTTAATCGAAAGTTGTTGTTACAATTAGAAACAAAATCATTTATGTGATAATTTCAGATGCAGGAGCTATTGGATGCTCAAAAAAGTTTCATCGATTCGTGTCAGCAAGTGCAACGGGATGATCCTCAGCCAGTAGCGGATGTATTAGAAAAACTTATTGAATCGCTTCTTAAAATGTGTGTACTATGTCATCAGTGGTAAATTGTCGCAAGTTGCTATTGCAATAATACTAGCGATAATAATCAGTTCTTGTATAAATTAGCTTCTAATAATTATAAGCCGATTAATACTTTCAGGAAGACTTCCACATTCCACGAGTTGCACAGGATTCAAGATAATATTAATAGACATGACAACAAAGTTGCAAAGGTTTTAAATTCGCAGGTGCGTTATTCCAATAAACTGTTTATTGATGTTGATTGTCATAAATATTTATTTGTAAAAGCAACTAAACTTGTATTAATTAAATAAATATTTATTTATGATTTCAGACTGATGTTACTTGTCGACGTCTAGAAAGTGCTTTTCGAAATACATCGCACACTATACTAAAAGAAAATGAATTGCGACAATTAACGGAGAAATTTATTTCGTTGACCGACCGAGCTGATGACGCTTTGCAACGTTTGGAAGCACAAATGAGGATTGGACCTGAGGAACCGCTACCCGTGTCTGACATATCCGCTGAAGCTATCAAACTAATGCAAAAATTAGTACACGAGTAAGCATTGAATATGATAAAGCAACTTTTGTTTGTCACATTTTATCAAAAACCGTACTCAAACCGTTCAGGGTATACTTATATTACAGGACATACACATAGGATTTTTAAAACTTTATATATTACAGTTCAATAAGATTTGCATCGCCGTTTAAAAAAATATCAAAATTGTTCATTAATCCTGGTAATAAAATTCACAAAACAATTATCGTTGGATTGGTGCCTTGGGGTACAACGTTGTAGAGGTGTTAAGTTTGGAACTAAGACATCTGCTGGAGAGTGGGCATGGAACCCTCACCTTCCCCGATGACGCAGGTGCCTTTCCTGATACGGTTGTTACAGCCAGTATATCTGTCGGATAGACCCAGGTTTATCTAGCTTCTGAGCCAACGTCACGATGGCACTTACGTTATTACGCTAACCATTGTGTATCACTATCCCGATGACACAGCGCGTAATACAATCTCGTGATCTTATCGCGGAAGTTGAGTAGTCTCTCGGCTGTGGCTTTTGTCTATGTAAGGGCACATGGAACGCCTTCTGCGAGGCGTTGATGTTTGGTAAAGGAGCCGGCGTAATGTGAGAGAGTACAGAGTGCAACTCTCCCCACCCGCAGCAGACGTATCGCGCGTCGGGCACAAACTGATCTCCCAACAATTTTTTAAGAAAGTCGAGAACAGAAGAACAGATACAGATCCAAATTCCAACGAGCGCCCTTCATAGAGGAGTACGACCCAGTGATGGGAATGTGACGCCATCCGTCTTGAGAGCTACCTGTAACTCAACTAATACAAGTGTGTTTTCCGCCCTTTGAGTGAATCAAAATTAAGTAATTGTATTAATCGTCATTTGACTTATCTGTTATGGGGCAAAATGTTAAAGGAACTTTGTAAGGAGAACAAATGATTTAATTTTACCATATCATTTTTCTTATTTGTCTTTTTGTTTTGAACTAAATTGAATTGCATAGATTTAATTATTTATCTTCATGTCTACATGTTGTGATGCGACTACAGAGTCTGTAAGTAGTGTGCACACCTATAAGTGGCTAATGCACCGTGCACTAGACTATATTTTAGTCTTAAATATCTTAGTGAATAAGTAGTTTGGAGTGCCATTATTTAAATAAATAAATTATTACGTAGTGTTTACGTAACATAAATATTTCATTTAAAAATTATGTATTACAGCCGCGAGTCGGACAGAGAATCCAAAGAATACTACGATTCCGAAGATGACACAGGCTATTTCCACGACGGCGATGGAGGAGGAGATATTATCGGCGAAGATAAAGCGATTCTAAGTGGGGTCTTCAGGAGAAAAACTAGGACTACCACAGTACGTCCCATGCACCGAAGACATCTGCATAAACACCCCTATGACCGTGGCCCTTCTATTAGAGATACTTCAAACTAAACATAAGCGTGTAATATAAAATTACTAAAAATAACATTGTTTTATTTTACTATTTTAAATAGTCAAGATTAAGCCGCGCTCCCTAACCAGTCAGGTTCAAAGCTTTCGTACGAAACGATAATTTCTTGGGACCTGATTGGTCAGGGGGCGGGGCTTGATCGATGCGTCACTTTTTTCTTCTTGCGAATAGACTATAGGTATATTTCTAGGTCTCGGACGTCCCGGCAACGGCCAGTTCAAGTAACAGGTATGCTTGACGACTACCTGGTACTTCTTGAGCTATTTATATTTATGAGCCAGCTATATTATTAATATTACACTATCCAGTCTATCCATGTAGGCAATGTTCCCTGTGACATTGCCTTTCTTTCTTATCTACATTTTCTTTAATACACTCAATCTTGCCCATCTAATTCCTAAAGCGCATGGTTTATTTTTTAGGCTTACCAACAAATACTTATACAATTTTGTTTTAAATTACAAAGCTACATAATAGTATAGGTTAATTCACATAATAAGGAGCAACCTTACTACGTATAGTCAGCAAAATGAATGTACGTACAAATTATAGTCAGCAAAATGAGCTGAAGCTGTTAATACATCTCTGCCTACTTTTTTTAGTCGTGAGCATATTTATGTATATAATTAAATATAGGGTAGATAAGCATTATAAAATGGTGCAATTCCCATTAACTCAACATTCTTGTTGATTAGGTACTTGACCCTTTGAGATCTGTATCTATTATCCACTTGCTTAAAGTATGTGTTCTTCCAAAGATCACATCATCATCACATCAACAGCCTATACTAGTCCACTGCTGGACATAGGCCTCTCCTTAGAAAGGAGGTTTTGGCCTACTATACCACGCTGGCCAGACGGGTTGGTATAGGGTTTGTTTCAAGTTTTCCTTCTCTTTGCAGTGCTGTTGTCCTGCTTAGTTTGCTCCCTTAGTCGGCTCTTACGACACCCACGGGATGAATTGGGGTGGTGACAATTTGTATTCTTAATCCGTCATCCGTATAATCATATAGAGATAATGAACACATTTCTTTTTTATGATTTACAAAGAAAATGCCCATTAAATGCCTGTAGCGGACAGAAATTACTAATAATACCAAAATTAATTTAGAAAAAAATTATGCATATTATATAATAATAGTCCACTGCTGGACATAAGCCTCTCTTTTCTAAGGAGAGGCTTATGTCCAGCAGTGGACTATTATAGGCAGTTGATGTGATGTGATGTGATATTACAATACAATTTATATAATGTAATGATACAATTTATTATGCAATAAGTTTGTTTAAGTAGAGTTAAAATGTATGAATTATTTTATTTTTTTACTTGATATTCTTTTGATTTAATCTCATTACCATCATGATATTCAACTGACATGACATGCAATGAAACAGAGTTGTTGATATGTATAACTAACCGAAGAAAACTGTTTTTTTTTTATACCATGGCATAAAAAGCTAATGATATATACATAATTAAGATATGTAGGAAAATAGATAACTCAAGTTGAGGATTTATCAATTTCAAATAATTATTTGTTACTGTAAGATTAATTTATAAACTAGCATATTTCTCAAAAGTATATTTTACTTACATAGTAATCATTCTCCACCGCAACAAATACATGCCCATAACATTATTATTATTATAATCAGCTTGGGCTGCTTTTTAATATTGGCCAAAAATTTGGCCAAAAGATAATGGAGCTAAGATCTTGCACAACGTATTAGCAGTGCCCAAGCATACATAATTGGTCATATTATTTTGCTTACAGAGAAAACAAAAAAATGTACCACTCTTAAATATTTACACTTTAAGCTGTAGATGTAGACTTATGCTTGTATAGAAAACCTCCATATCTGGTAGTCTAGATGTTTGAGGAAGCCAAAAATTTTTATAGGAGATTTATATCTTCATGTTCTGCCTAGGGGGCCAGTGAGGGGGCCAGTGAGCAGAACATGAATTTAGAAACTATGTCAGAAAAATTAGTGATAAAAGGAAAAGAGTGATTAATAAATAATCTGAACTGACAGACATGAAATAACCAACATATATTTTAATTGAATTGCCAATAACCATTTACTTATATATTTAAAAATTATTATAAAAAGATCTATATATTTATATTAACACATATATATAGGTATAGTAAAAATAATCATACCTCAATTTTGGCACTATTCTGAAATATAGTAAGTGCTTTGTGTGTGAGTTGTGCAAAGCATGAGCTGAGTGTGGCAATCTTCTGTCGAGCTCCAAACACTACTTCTGGTTCCTCTGTCTCGAGCTCCGCTGTAATCCAATAAGAAATTATTTGAACCACAGGCAAAGGAGGAAATTTACATTGAGAAACATAGAGGAAACATAAATGCCTTGTTTTCTTAACATAGTAAATTGTATAAAATAAGCATAATTATAATCATAACACAGATTGTTAGTTTAAAATTCTTCGTTGTAAAATGAATAACATAAAACTACAATAATACTTACAATAAGACTTCTGTCTGATTTGCTGTAAAATACTTTAAATATAGAGCATAAAATTCTATTCATGCTTTTCAGTAGTAATGGCATAGCAGTAATTTAATACATATTTCTATTTGCATGATAATAAACGTATTTTATTGCGATGAATGTATATTTATTAACAAAAACTGGAGAGCAATTGCAGTATTTTTGCAGTTGCGTAAAACGCAATGAAAATTAAAGTTATAAACTTTATTACTGGAATACTGAGAGAAAATTGTACTTACTTAAAGAGGTATCTAGTTCGAGACATGCTTTATCAAATTCCTTTTCTAAAATATCTAACCATCGAAAACCAACTCCGGTAGTCGCCATTTTCACAATAATTTGTTGACAACTTTACTGTCAAAGTGACACTTGACCAAGCCAATCGTTTAGAAACAGAATACAAAACAGGAATAATTCAGGCGCTACGAATTTAAACAGAAACTCTTAAGAGAAATGTTTCTTATTGAAAGTCTGTAACGAGTGACGACTAGAGTTGTGTAGCTAAGCTAGCCTAAGTAAGATCTAAAAGATTTATATAAATCATATACGACGATAAAACGTATCATTCACTCACACTAACTCCGAATGTATAAGTAACCCAGTTCTATCTCACTAGATCATAGGCATGGGTCAAAATCACAGTTAACTGTGAAAGACCGGTAATTTATCAGACGATTTTTTCGTACGTAGGTCAGGGTTACTATTTACTCATGAGTTTTTGCCAATAACCTGTTTTTAGACGATGCGCAAAGACTCTATTTCACATAGTTAACAGTAAATCTACTAATTATTTTATTATATATAGCTACTCTTCCCTACATAATAATTAGAAAAACGATAGACCAATAAGTAATACTTCTTGGCTATGAGAGAAAGAGAGAGAGAAAATGTGTGCTCGCACCTCTCTCTCTTGCTCCTACAGTATTAAACGAAACGTGAGAGTTACGTTGGTTGATTTGGCAGAGGCTTTTGACACGGTCTCCATCCCCAAGCTAATCCTTAAACTGGAGGCAATCGGAGTCAGGGATAAACAGTTACAGCTATTTCAGAGTTACCTGACCAGCCGCACTCAATGTGTCAAAATTGGCGAGTACGTTAGCAGCCATCTACCTGTCGAGTTTGGAGTTCCTCAGGGTAGTATACTTGGTCCTACACTCTTTTTAGTGTATATAAACGGACTTTGCAGTCTGGATCTAGTAGATGGTAAATTGTTGGCTTTCACAGATGACATGGCGCTTGTTTTTGCAGGAAACTCTTGGGATCAAGTTTATGACACTGCACAGATGGGATTGAACAGAGTAACTAAATGGTTATCCGATAATACTCTGTCGCTCAATGTCGATAAGACTAAATATGTACTGTTTAACATCAAAACCCCGAAACACTTCGATGATAGGAACTTTTATATTGCAGCCCATAACCACGCTAAAAATACCCGTCTTATGTGCAACTGTCCCAATCTAGAAAGAGTGCATACTATTAGGTATCTGGGTGTTATTCTAGATACACGATTAACTTTCGCACCGCACATTGAATTTTTAACAGGGAGAATTAGGAAACTAATGTATATATTCAAGCACCTCAGGCACGTGGCTGATCCCAAAGTTTTAAAAACAGCGCCTATAAAAGTAATCTGATACAATTAGAACAAGCACAAAGAGCTCTCCTAAAGGTTTGCACTTTTAAACCTTTCCGCTTTCCTACTAAAGAACTATACCGAAGTCTTAACAGTGCGACAACTGTTCATTCTCCAAGTTGTTCTTAGGCAACATACTTTGACGACTGACTATGAGTGTTCTTCTATAGCATCCCTAAGACAACCATCACGTAGGTTTAGACTGCCCCCAAATGAGACTCGCAAGACCTCCTTCAGCCACAGATTTTTTTGCTTTCTCGGACGCTTTTTGTATAACAATCTGAACAAGGCGTTAAATATTGTTTCCAAAAATAAACACCACTGTAAGAAGGTGGTCACTGATTGGCTTCGTACACTTAGCTATGATGTAACTGAGAATTTGCTTCATCCAGTCAAATAGTCACACAAACACAGATGCACGCACCCCTCACATTCACACACACACACTCATCCATACACACCACACAACCCTCTCCTTCATACGCACTTACACAAACTCACTCACGTACACTCACTGCCATTTGCAATAGCCTCCCTGAACACTGATTCTCATAACTTATAAGATACTAGGTTTACTTTAATTAATATTTCATTTTATTTTAATAACCAATTAGTTTTAATAGTATTTATTCAACGGTTGTGGCAACAGAATTTGTTTCTAATGTTCAGCGGTACAATTGTGTGTCTGTGGAAGCATTGTATTACCAAACTGTGCTTTAAAGAGTCGCTGGTACTTATAGCACAGGGTTTCCTTTTTAAGTATCAGCAGTGCATTATTTGTCATTATTGTAATATAACTACCATGAAATTATGTTTGTTAACTTTAATTGTGAACAATAAATATTATTATTATTTCTTTATTTCATTCTTTATACATATAAATTACATTTTTAAATATATTTATATACAAAAACAAAAAAAAATACATTTAAAAATATAAAAAATAGTATCCCATCGGTATCGGGTACAGAGACCAAGATATCGGTGGTTAGGACTCCAGAGACAGAAACTTCCTCACAATACGTGCCGTATCGAGAAGAACTGCTTTCTGCATCAGACCCTTAATCCAACTGCCTAACGCGAGCCTCTGAAGATGTTGGTCGAGGCTCTTAGCAACTAATCCATGGGCCGATATGACTATCGGTACAACGATTGCCGAATCAACATCCCACATGTCGACAATCTCGTGGGCTAAATCCAAATATTTCACTTGTTTATCTTTTTCAGCTTTCAAGAGATTGTCGTCATGTGGAATGGTAATGTCAACAATCATTGCTCGGCGCTCCAATCGGTCTATTACCACTATATCAGGTTTATTGGCAACAATAGTCCTGTCAGTGATAATAGGGCGATCCCAGTACAACGTTGCACGACTATTTTCAAGAACTGGGTCGGGCACATATTTGTAGTACGGTAACTCTACAGTCACAAGGTTATACTTAAGAGCAAGTTGCTGATGGACAATCCTGGCCACTTGGTTATGTCTATGCAAGTACTCGCCGTTGGCAAGACGAGAACAACCGGAAATTATATGTCTAAGGCTTTCACCAGGACAATGACATGCCCGACAAATGTCTATTGTGCCGTCCTTCAGGATATACTTCCGATAATTATTCGTCATAACAACTTCATCAGTAATTGCAAAGACAAAACCTTCAGTTTCCCCGAAGAGTTGATCCACCTCAGGCCTGTTCAAGGCTCGATAAAAACGTCCATGCAGCTCTTTGCCCTTCCATATCTCCTTACGATCAGTAATGTTGAGTACTGCAAATTTGCGCCAGTTCTCTTTACCTAGACCAAGCGGAGTGAGTCCGTTATCAACTGCTACTACATCCCTATGAATATCCACATTAACAGAAAGGAAGTAATTCCTAAGGTTACATATCTCACGATTGTGGAGGGTCTTGGCATTTAGAAAACCACGACCACCACATTTTCGTGGAATATATAACCTCATCACCGATGAACGTGGATGATGCATTCGGTATACAGTAAGCAATGTACGAACTCTTCTATCCAGGGTATCTAGTTCAGTCTGAGTCCATCTAAGTATGCCAAAAGAGTAATTTAGAACTGGTATGACCCAATCATTATAGGCTCTCACCTTACTACCACCTGATAAAAGACTATTTAACACTTTTTTCAGGCGGCAAAAGAAGCGTTCCTGTAACGATTGTTTCATAGTCAACTCTTTTACACATAACGCCTGTGACATACCCAGATATTTGTAAGTTTCGTTGGCTGAGAGACATGTAAAGTGCGTGGAATCTGAGAGTTCCAACCTATCAGACTCCACAACCCTGCCTCTTTTTACATGCATGATTGCACACTTATCTACACCAAATTCCATCCTGATACATTTACTAAAGGTTTTAGTTATTTCTAGTAAATTCATCAGTATGGAACTACTGGAAGCAAACAGTTTTAAATCATCCATGTAAAGGAGGTGGGATATAACCTTACCATCTCTCTGCAAACGATAGCCTAGCCCTGAACCCTCCAACATAGTGCTGAGAGGATTTAAAGCTAAGCAAAACCACAAGGGACTTAAACTGTCACCCTGAAATATACCCCGCTTAATCATTATATATTCGCCATCGCCTTGAGATTGCCGACATCCTGGATAGCAAAGAACCGTTCTCCATTGCCGCATACATGTCTCCATAAAAGTGCATAGAGTTGTATCAATCTTGTACAACTCCATCACCCTCAAGAGCCACGTATGCGGTACAGAGTCATAAGCCTTTTTATAATCTATCCAACATGTCGACAGATCTTTTCGGTTACGGCGAACTTGTTGGTTAATAGTCATGTCAATAATAAGGAGCTCTTTAGTACCACGTGCCCCACCTCTACATCCGTTCTGAGAGTGAGATATAATAGAGTTGTTCGTAATATGAGAAACCCCTACTTTACGCGTTTATCCAGCGCAGAGTCAAGTTGCCTCCCGCCCAGTTAAATCAACTGTCGTTCATTTCACAGTTTACAACTGACGTTCAGTATGTGAAGGGCGTGGACAATGTCGTAGCGGACGCTTTCTCCAGAGTTGAGTCCATTTCACTGGAGGAGAACTTTTCAGCCTTGGCGGAAGACCAGGAGAAAGACCTGGAACTCGCAGATCTCACCAAAGGTAACTCTAGTCTCCAACTGACTAAGATCACTGTCCCAGGTACTGACATTTGCCTGACATGTGACACCTCGACGGGGAAGCCTCGCCCGTATGTGACTCGAGCGTATAGAAAATTTGTATTTGACCGGCTACATAACCTGAGTCATCCCGGTGCAAACGCTACCGCGCGTCTCGTGGCTGAACGCTATGTTTGGCCCGGTGTGCAACGAGACTGCCGTGCATGGGCGCGCCAATGTCTGCCCTGTCAGCGCAGTAAGGTCACGCGCCATGTCAATGCACCGCTCGCTAACTTTACCACGCCTACCGGGCTACTCAGGCACGGTCATATCGACATTATTGGACCTCTTCCCATCTCGGAAGGCTATAGCTACTGCCTCACTGCAATAGATAGGTTTTCGAGATGGCCGGAAGTCTGGCCCATGAAAACAATAACCGCTGAAGAGGTTGCCCTCAGGTTCGTGTGCGGCTGGGTATCACGTTACGGTGTCCCATGCACTATTACCACTGATCAAGGTCGCCAGTTTGAGTCCGCACTTTTTAAACGACTCCTGGAGCTTTGCG